CCGTGAGCGGCCGCGCGGCGACGAGGGCGAGCTGGAGGACGGGAGGGGGGGCCGCGGCGGCGCGGCGGAGCGCGCGCCCTCTCCAGAGGAGATGGAGGAGGAGGCGATCGCCAGCGTCCCCGGGGAGGAGACGGAGGACATGGACTTTCTGTCCGGGCTGGAACTGGCGGATCTGCTGGACCCCCGGCAACCGGACTGGCACCTGGAACCGGGCCTCAGCTCGCCCGGGCCTCTCTCCTCGTCCGGCGGAGGCTCGGATAGCGGCGGCCTGTGGAGAGGGGACGACGACGACGAGTCGGCAGCTGCGGAGATGCAGCGCTTTTCTGACCTGCTGCAGAGGCTGTTAAACGGTATCGGAGGCTGCAGCAGCAGCGGCAGTGACAGTGGCAGCGGCGAAAAGAGGCGGAGAAAGTCCCCCGGAGGAGGCGGCAGCAGCAGCGGCACTGACAGCAACCAGGCGGCGACAAAGAGTCCCCGGAAGGCGGCGGCGGCCGCGGCCCGTCTTAATCGGCTGAAGAAGAAGGAGTACGTGATGGGGCTGGAGAGTCGAGTCCGGGGCTTGGCCGCCGAGAACCAGGAGCTGCGGGCCGAGAATCGGGAGCTGGGCAAGCGCGTACAGGCACTGCAGGAGGAGAGTCGCTACCTACGGGCCGTCCTGGCCAACGAGACCGGACTGGCTCGCTTGCTGAGCCGGCTGAGCGGCGTGGGACTGCGGCTGACCACCTCACTCTTCAGAGACTCGCCCGCCGGTGACCATGACTACGCTTTGCCGGTGGGAAAGCAGCAGCAGCAGGACCTGCTGGAAGAGGACGACTCGGCCGGAGGAGTGTGTCTTCATGTGGACAAGGATAAGGTGTCGGTGGAGTTCTGCTCGGCGTGCGCCCGGAAGGCGTCGTCTTCTCTGAAAATGTAGGGTCAAGTAATCTGCTCTTTATCCGCGTTTACCCCTTTCAGCTCCCTTACACCATGTAAAAACACCTTAGTGGGACATCGTCACTGGACACATTTCAGGAGGAAAAAAAGTAATATTGAGTCTTTTAAGTGTTTAGCTAAAAGCATGAATGTGACACTGTAACCAGCTCCCAATGATAACATGTGACTATTAAATCTCTCTGACAGTTTCTTTTTTAGGTGATTTCCTTCCTGCCAGGCTCCGTTGTAGGGGTTACAGAACAGTCGTTCCCGCCTCACAACCTGGTAAGGTTCCATCTCTTCACGTAACGCTCATGCTCTGCTGCTTAGTCTACTTTAATGGGCAACATCTCAATTTTGTGTGTGTGTGATTTTTTTTTTTTTTCTTTTTTGGAAGGCGGGAGGGGAATCTAATTTGGGCCCTGTCCACCCTGGAAACAGACTTGTGCTGGTCAATAATGTATTTAAGATGTTTCTTATGGTTGAAATAGCTGTTAATGTATCCCCTTGTTCAGACTTGCGCGTACCTAGCTCTTCTGTCCCCAGTGTGGACATGGCCTTGGATGACATCGATTCCAACTGTACACTGAAAGCTGCTAATAGAGATACAGTTTGGAGACAGTGAAACAGGTGAAGTTAAATGGAAGTTCCGAGTTGTACAAGATGCAAATTGGAATTCCAGTATTAGAGCAACTTTTCAGAGGTTGACAAGTGTTTGGGGCATGCACAAATGAGATAGTTATTTTGCTGGAAGTGACGACAAAATAACTTAAATATTCAAGAATGCCTTTTAGTTTTAAGTAGAAGATCTAGAATTACAATATTCAGATTAACAGATTTTAATATCTCACCATTAGAGAAATGGAAATTAACAGGCATATCAGACCCGTGTTAGTTAATTGAAGGAAGAATAAGAATGGTTAATGAAATGTTTCTTTGAGAACCAGCACAGTGATTACCCTATCACTGAGTATGAATAAATTGTTGAACACCTTTATTTTTGTTGTATTAAAATTTTAGGTTAAATTTATGTATGATTCGATTTTGAAGGTTGTGAAATGTGAATGAAAACATGTAAAGTGAGGCTTCACAAAGAATCTTATTTTCCATATTTCAAAGGCATTTTAAAAATTGAGTGGTTCTGGCTACTTAATGACAAGATTGACACTTTTTCAAAAGATGGGATGTATTCTTCCCTTGAAGTTCTCTGTTATCTATCGTCCAGTTTTATAAATTGAGTTACGGTGGCCTTCGGTGTAAGAGGCATTAAGAAATTCTTTGTGAAACATCACTGTTTGATAAAGTATATACCTATTTAGCATCCTTGTTTTTCTTTGTGCTAAAGTGGATACAGCTGTTGGGGCAGAAGAGACGGGACCAGCTGCTGGCCACATTTCCTGCTTTATTTTAAAAGGTAGTATAAGAAATGAGGAAAAAGAGGTAATATCAGGGCTTCTGCTGTCTTTTCTTTTAAAATGTTCATAATTAAAAAGTTTTTCCAGCAGTCCAAAGATGTAAGTTATCTTACTCACGAAATGTTTTATTTTGTTGTTGTTTGGTTATGAAAATGGAATCCTTGTTCTTGCACAACTGTAAATGTTTTGTTGCTAGATAATACTATTTGAGACCTAACTTGGTCTCTGGTTTCCAGTGCATCACAACAATTTTGTAAAATCATCTACTGCACTTGAGCATGAATGGGTAGTAGCCAAACTCACAACCTGGAGTGATGAACCTGCTTTTACCTAAGTGCAGAAGCAAGCCCCTCACGATGCAGCTGCATGGATTTTTAGTGCCTACTGAATTATTCATATATATATATATATATATATATAAACCAAAAGTAGTTGGAAAAATTATTTGAAATGACTAATTTGTGCTATCTTTATGGAATATGTTAAATGTAGATTTTTGAAACAGAAGCCTTGAATTGAAATTTAATTAATACTTGAACATTTTGTATATATTTCTTTGTATATAATTTTGTGCAGTACCAATGACAAAAATATGGTGTCATTAATAAAACCAGGTTTGTTGATCTTTCAGTTATGGGCTCAAAGAATTTTTTCATCTCTAATATGACATTGAAAAATAATGGATGAGAATAGGAAAAATGATTGTTGTTAATGCTGACTGTGGGTCGTAAAGGTTCTGGAAGCAGTAAATGCGTTTTTCTAAAAATTATACCAATTCCTTGGAATATTTTCTTCCTAATGTCAATGCTTTCCCTGCATTATTTGAAGTTGGGGCTGGGGGAAAACAGTAGTCAAAAGCTTTCTGAATTGGGATGCTTTGAAATTCCAAGTGTAGATTTTTAGAATGTCATTTTATAAATGGCAGTTTTCGAAAATACTTGATTAAGAACTTTTGAAAGAGGAGATTAGTATCGCCTATTTTTAAAGCTGCTTTGTTAGGTTACTTATGTTTGCAACTGTCTTTTCTTAGTTTCCATTTCATTTTCTTTTTTTTCCTAATTTTGGTGACTCAGTGATTTTTGTCATTTTTACATCAACTTCATAGTCTTGTTTTTACATGGTATTGCATGTATTTAGGACCTATCTAACAGGGGCGTTAAATAAATTTGGTCATATTTATGTGTAAGCACATTTTACTGTAAATGTTTGAGTTTCTGAATTTACAACAGATGTGTTTTAGTATGTAGTAAGCAATATCTTAAAGTGTCCTATTCACTACTTGTTAATTAAAAAAGTTATTAATATGAAACTGTTGTCTTACTATTTTTAGAAAATTGTGTTTTGGTGAATAATAGTTGTGTAAAGGAGATTTCTGGGATATATGGATTGTTTTGAAATTTTCCGGTTTGGCTCTATTTACTGTAATGAATGAAAACAATTTAGTATTGGACAACCTTTTTTTTCCCCCCTCCTAATTTTGCCTCTATGGCAAAATGATATAGAACTAGATTAAAGATGTAGCTTTTTAATATTTGTCTTCTGATGGTGACAGGAATTCATACATTAATTGAACTAACACATCATATTGACCTACTGCTTCTATCATATTGACGTACTGTTTCTGCACTTCCTTGACCTGACTTAACAAAAATGTCCATGTTTGTTAAAATGTAGTCACACCTCTGATATAAGCCAACAAAAAGTGTTCAAAATATTTTAAATACTTGTACATTTTATAATCACTAAATTAATCTCTCTCTCTTCTCTTTAAACAGCTTAGCAGTGTCTGCAAAAGTGAATCTTTTCCTACAACCTGTTAACTGACTGGACTGATGGTAACAAAGTAATTGTGGGAGCCATGTCGGTCAAAAATTTGGCATCTGCTGAAAAAAATGAATGCCATTTTCAAGTTCCCAAATTACTTCTATACTGGTTTCACTTTCCAGAAATGGAGATATGAAAAGATTCTCTGGAATCCTTGAAAGACTTAATAGAAATACTTGAGACTAAGTTAATTTTGGAACAAAATTATACCTTTTTTTTTGTCTTTCATAGGAGTGATACTCAGTTCTTCGCATACCTTTTTAAAAATTGTAACCATTGGAGAAGAGAATTATAGTATTTCATCAAGGAGAATTAGATTCTTTACATAATCAAGAGCACATTCTATGGAATTATATTTAGTGGAGTAGAATTGCATAAACAAGCCATCACTGATCACAGGCATATCATGAGTTTGTATTTATGTCCTGGAACATGGGAGATAATCTGAAGTACAGACAGATCTTGCCAAGTAGAATGTGAAAGTTAATGTAAAGTCCTTAACTATGAAGAGGAATCTTTTTAAGTAGAAGCATTGTCTGTATATCTTTGAAAAAGTTGATTTATGATTAAATGTGTGGGTAGTTAATTGCAATTCAGGGTAATACCAGGATGTGTGCAGATTCTGAGGTTTTGGCTTCTTGAGCTTTCTCTGAGTACTTGACACAAAATTTTTTGAATATTTTGAGGTTCCTAATGAATGGTATACTAGTTTCTACTGTTTTATATAAATTAAAGTTTCTCTAGTGTTATGTAAGGGCTTTAGTATTTTGGATGATGGGAGTGGCTTTTTCATGGAATACGGTTGTTTTACTTAATGGAAACATTTTTCCAGTTTATTACAGTGTGGAAAAACACTCAAAACTCTGGATTGTTTTATTTCATTTTTGTTGGATTATGTTAATACATTCTTTTACCTGGTCTAGACCGAGCTGTGCTATCTTACATTTGGGAAGTACGCAGGGAGAAGTGGGAAATGGTAGGACATAGCCTCTTTTTTCTTTTCTTCCCAGAATAATTTATGATAACTATACATTTTGGTTATTGTATGGTATTATACAAAACCTATTAAATCCACTCAGTTTCTTGTATTCTAAGTGTATTCAATGTTTGTGATGCCTGGTAGCAAAGAGTATTCCCAGTGGCTTATAACTGTATGGATGCTTTTACAGCACAAACAGTACAGCTGGTTATAATTCCACAACCAATGATTAGGCATCAGCTATCCCCCTTTGATGGAACATGGAGTGGATAATTCAGTCAGTGATAATGAGTAATTATCTTTTAAAATATGTGATTACCAAGTTTAGCATTTTAAAGGTTTAGTTTAATATCTTACTAACTTGGTCAAGTTTTTAAGTTAAACAATCTGATAACTAGGTAGTAAAATATTTTCAAGTTTTTAGTTTTTCTCCCAGACTCCTTATCAATGCAAAGTTTTGAGACCGTCCCAAATGTTTATATTTTTATGTTTTACTGTGCTGTTTTTCCTTCAGAAGCCAGGTAGTTACCACTTAAGCCAGGAATAAAAGATGGGGAGGTCTTTCATTAGAAGCTTGTAGAGTGTTTTGTTTGGCCAGCACAGTATATTTCACATATTTGAACTTGAATACTTACATACTCTGTTCACCAGTTACTCCCTATTGTCTTATAATTTCAGATTGAACTCTGACCGACCTAGACTGCAGATGGTCATTTACTTTCAGTTTTGAAGTAAAGAAAAATTAAACGAGGTATTTTAAATTTTATTTCAGAAAGTAAATTATCATTAGGAACATAAATCACGTAAAATTAGAGAAAATTTGATTTTTTTTTCTTTTTTTTTAGATATAGGTTGATAGTTGTTCTCTAACTCGACTTTTTCATTGCTTTAGTTACTGATAATGGTGTTTTCATTTCTGGTTTTTTAACTTTTTCCCAATCTGTACATTCAAGATTTCTTACTCAGGTATTTCCCCATTTTTAAAAAGAAGTCAGTTCACAACAGACTTTAATAATTTTTAAAATTTTGTTCACCTGAAATTACCTGTTTGAATGAGAATGTTTTTCTCAATTTTGTTAACCTAATTTTAAAATCTAGCCACTAATGGCATTTTGAACATGTGTGTAGTTCTGCTAATATGCAAAGATTTGAATTTTATTGGTGGGCCAACTTCCTTTAGAATGTGCCTTCAAATTTTGTATCTTTCCTATTCTATAACCATTGAGGTCATTTTCCTAGACCCCCTCTGGATTTTAATGTACTTATAGTTTGGGGTTTACAAATTTATATTAATTTAAGTAGAATATATGAACCCTTTTTAAAGCCAAATAACTATAAATTGTAAATGACAGATTTAAATTGTTTGCTGTCACTGAACTGAAATATTAAAAACCGTTTTCCTGACTGAGGCAGTGTTCTTTAGGTCTTTGCTACAGATGACTGTTTCCTTAAATTAAAATGCAGATTTATGTCACTTATCTGCCCCCTGACCAAAAATTTTGGTTTGATTTATAGCAACAGATTTATTTACTTATTATTTTAAATATACATATCTTTATTGATTTCAGAGAGAGGAAAGGAGAGGGAGAGAGAGAGAAACATTAATGATGTGGGGATCGATCCCACAACCCCGGCATGTGCCCTGACTGGGAATCAAACCATGATTTCCTGGATCATAGGTCAGTGCTCAACTGCTGAGCCACACCGGCCGGGCTATAGCAACCGGTTTAAAATAACATTCTCTTATGTTGTGCGTTTCTATTAATTGAAAAGATGATTTAAGAAATACATGGTATAAAGGACACATTAGAAAAAAATCTTGATACCATTGTGAATTCTTTTATTCATTTACAGATGGTATGATAGGGAGTAAATACTGTGGGAATGTTTAAGGATATGTAAGGAAACAATTTGTACCAATTGAGTTGCATCAGTGGGTTTCAAATTATCCAAGTTGATTATTCTCTGCTTTTAAGGAGTCTAATTTAGTAATTTGGGTTTCTTATTTTTGAAGTCAGGAATTATTTTTCAGTGTTTTTTTCATTGTGATTTAAGTAGAACTCTGCTTTAAATAAAGCTGACAGAGTGCAGATAAAATATATAACTTGGGGTCATAGCTTTACCTTGACATTTTAGCTTGTGAAATAGGTAAGTGCTTTCCTTTTAAATTATATATATTTTTTTCAAGTTGTAAAAATAAAGCATATTAATTATAGAAAACTGAGAAAATCCAAAAAGGAATCAAGAAAAATCCATAATTCTGTAATCCAGTGGGACTATCCACAGTAAAACAGAATCTTTTGCCTCCTAATTGGGGTTATTTCTTGTATAACACATTTTAAGTACCTGCTGATAAAACAAAGCATCTTTGCTTTCTGAAAGATTGAAAATGTATTTTTAAAATTTCATTTAAATTTTAATCTTCCGTTGCACTGCTTTCTTAGCGACATTGAAAGCCTATTTCACGAAGGTGCTTCTAGGTGACAGGCTACATTCTCCTTTGATACAATTTTAAGTAGCATAAGATCACAACAGTTATGTCACTATGTTTAGAAGGAATAGTTAAATGCTTGTGAAATGATCTATGATATCACTTAATATCTTATTTGGTACAACTGGCTTGTTTCATCAGAAAAGTGTTGGTCTAAATAGGTACTGTCCAGTACTTTAGACTTTAGCCACACGTGGCTAAAACCTTAATTAAAATTTACAATTCAGTTATTCAGTTGCATTAGACACATATCAGGTGCTCAATAGCTAATGTAAGTCAGATATAAAATATTACATAAAGTTCTGTTGGACAGTACTGATTTAGGTGCTGTCACAAAATGGTTTAAAGAACTGAGATCAAAAGTTTTAGGAAGGGGAACACAATAGGTTACTTCTAAAATTTAAATAATCTATTTTAGGAAATGAGGAAAGATTAGGATATTTCAGCAAACAAAACCAGGAGCAATAGTAAGAAAATGGCTACCATGTGAGTGCCTGATACCATCAGGTGCTACGTTAGGCAAATTACATGTTACGTAATACCAATCCTGAGTGAGGTTAATGATGAACACTGAGGGCTAGAGAGGGGCTCGTTAACTTGCTTAACGTCACACAGCTTAAAAAAAAAAAAAGACTGAGATCTGTGATTCCAGAAGAACTATTCCATACTAGATGGAAACTTCAAAGATAAGATCAGCCTCAATCTTATAAGAATATAGCTTATAAATAGGTGACTTTTGACTTTTGAAGTATGTAACTTTAGGAGAGCTCAAGTTGAGCCTGAATAACCACCTGTAAAGAATACTGGAATTGGTCCCTCTGTAAGGAAGGTTAATAAATATGTTCTAAGATTCTATGGATTTATAATACCAATGAAAACAGTGAATTGGGAAAATGAAGTGTAAATAACATTTGCTATAGTATACTGATACTCCCACTCCACCCCCCATTTTCATTCCTGTTTGGATTCTTTATGAAGTCTTTATTGGAAACTGTTTCATGTTTGTTTTTTTTCTGTGTTAAAGATCAAACTCTGCCTAATTTAAAGGCAAAGAGCAAGAGTGGTGGAGAGATACTATTGGGCAAACAAGAAGTTATGCTCTTGTTTAAGTTGGTAGCCTTTAGTGGTTTTAAGCCTTTTGTTGCCCTGTGAAGCCTTTTGTTGTAGGTCTCAGGAGTTGTACCTCATGTGATAAATTTTAAGTCTTGTTTATTCATACAGTAGACATAGTTTATTCTTACAGATTTATTTTTGTGTACACATTTGCTTAACAATCACTGAAATTCTAGGCCAGGTTCAGGTAATTGAAGAGCCTTTATAAGTAGTTTATATTGTCTAGAACCAAGGTATGCTGCAAACCCAGTCTGGAGCAAAATGGGAAATAACATCTTTCTAAAGATAGGCTTAGAAAGTCTGATCCAGTAGGTTAAGATGTTTCCTCTCTCTGGTAGCAGGGCTGAGGAATACCTGTAAGAAAACATTGAGAGCAGTTCACTGGGGAAGACTGTCGTGGCAAACCAATGTACAATATATGTATTAATCCCAGAAGTCTTGACTAGTTTAGGTAAATATTAAGGCACTGCTACTATTAGTCCTAAAAACTGTCCCTTTGGGGGTAATTTTTTTGCCTCTTTCTCCAGTTCATCTCCGGAGGCTCATATAGCATAGACTGCTTGATATAAGTTCATTAGAGAATAACAGTTTTGGAGTAGAAGACTTATAGCTAGACATTTTCTGATGGAGTTTTCCTTTAGTGGGAATGCTTAAATTCTTACGAACAGTGTGAGTGAGTGTGTGCGTGTGTGTGTATAAATAACATGGTTTTAATGCTAGAATAGTATTACTCGCGGCTTTGTAAATTGTAAATTAACCTAAACTGTAAATTAAGGTTAACAACTGGAACTATATACCCAAGAGGTACAGTGTGATAAATTTCTAGAACTGTTTTCAAATTCTTAAGAATATATCCTAAGGAACCCAAACACCAATCACAAAGAACTTATGCACCCCTATGTTCATAGCAGCGCAATTCACAATAGCTAAGGTTTGGAAACAGCCCAAGTGCCCATCAGTAGATGAATGGATAAAAAAGCTGTGGCAAATTTACACCATGGAGTACTATGCGGCTGTGAAGTAGAAGGACCTTTGGCACAGCACGGAGTGAACTAGAGAGTATTATGCTAAGTGAAATGAGCCAGTCAGAGAAAGACAAGTACCAAATGATCTCACTCATATGTGGAATATAATAAACAAAATAGACTGATGAACAAAGTGGATCCAGTAACATAGAAGCTTGGAACAAACAGGGATCTCAGAGAGAAGGTGGGGAGGGGGGGTGTAGGTAGGGAGACATTAATCAAGAAACTTGTATGTTTATGGACATGGCCCATGGATGTGGACATTGGTGTGGGGAGGGCCTGGGGGTGGGATGGATGTAGAGTGGAGGGGATTAGTGGGGTTAAAAGGGAGACATCTGTAATGGTCTCAACAATAAAGATAAAGAAACAAATAAATAAAAAGAAAACAGTATGGAGTTACATAAACAAACAAACAAACAAACCTACCTATATTATCCAGCAATTCTACTTCGGGGAATATACCCAAAGGAAATGAAAATAGGATAGCGAAGAGATATATGCATTCTCATATTTATTGTAGCATTATTCATAATAGTCAAGATATGGAAACAACCTAAGTGCCTGTCAATGGGTGAATGGATAAAGAAGATGTGGTATAATATGCAATGGAATATTATTTAGCCATGAGAAAGATGGAAATCTGTCATTTGCAACAACATGGATACCTTGTGGACATTTTGTCAACTGACGTAAGTCTGATAGAGAAAGACAAATACTCTATGATACCACTTATATGTGAACTCCAAAAATCCAAAAAAAAAAAGAAACTTGTAAATACAGTAAAAAAAAAAAAAAAAAGGGAAAAAACAAGTCTTAACTTTTTCAAATCAAAAGGTAACATTCCTTAGAAAACGTATTTGCTATTTTAAGTTAAATGTTTTCTAGGTAATCATTTATATATTACTGAAGTTTTTCAATGATAATGAGAAAATGATCCTACCTGGCTGCTAGGCCACCATTCACAGGTATAGCCAAGAAAACAGGGTACAGACCACCAAAAACAAGTCCAACCAATCCACCTCGTGTTATGGTACAGGTTTCACAATTCAAATCACCTAGGAAATAAAATAGTTCTGGAAATGAAGGTCATGATAGTCAAGCAAACATTTAAAGAATGCAAGGTCCCCTTATATGAATCACAGAGACTCAATTTTCAGGCAGTAAGCAAATGCAATTCTGCAAGGCATGTTAAAAGGTGGTATTACATGTACAGATAACCTAAAACACCTAGGAGTAACTGATTAACCACCTTAGGAAAAATTTCTAATTTGTTCTGAACTTGATTGAATATAATCTCAGTTTACACTCATAGCTTGCTGCACTTGTATTAAACTTTTTTTAATCCATGGGAATTTTTTTACAATTTATACTTATATAGTGACTTTATGAAATTCTTCATTTCCAAATTAGTGTAAAGTATATTAAAAATAGAAAGCTAAGTTGTAACTTAAGTTTTCCTCAGTCAGTCTGCTCAGTTCACTGGGCAATAGGCTTCCCTGGATCATAAAAGTTCTTTTCACACTGATTATAGGGATTTAAGCAAAATACTCAAACAGTTTAAACAAATTTAGAGCAACACTTAGCAGAAAAGAACTTAAATGGACTGCCTCCTTCCCAACCATCCCTTGTAATACTTTTATTTCAAATCATTAATCAAAACCTTTTTCATGATTAGCTATACTCAAAGCACTCAGCACATACGGTAAACTGTCGAAAGGAAATCAAGTCTCCATACATTTAATAATTCTTGTATGTACATCAAGTACTTTGAGAGATTTACTACTTAGAGTTTTATTCCCATAAAGAAAGTTCTCTGCAGATTTTTTTTTTAACTAAGGTGGTCAGCATTTTAAAAAAAAATTAAGTTTCCAAATACTTTTTATTCTAAGCACTGTGGAAAAGATAAATTAGATGAAGGAAAGTGTTAAGAACTGCTGTGTATGTGCACTTGTTTGGTAGGCCATCCTAACATGAACTGCCATTTTAAGAATTAATGTAGGGTAGAAATATATACCAAAGCAAACTCTCTGGTAATAGTGAATAGGATTTACCTGTATTCAACGGTAAACTTATAAAACCTTTGTAGGATACGTCCGCTGTCAAAAATGGGATCACTGCCATTGGTAAACCAGCAGCTATACGAGCCTGTGTCACATTTAAGACGCGCCGAAAAAGACTGTTTGCTATTAGGCCACAGAGAGCAGCATTAAGTCCAATATATGTTGATCCGTGTTCAAGTACATTCCTGAGTAGGTGAAAAAAAAAATAGTAAAGTTTTCTTTGGCACTATTGTGTGTTGGGAGCTCTTGTATGCTCTCAATTCTGGCATATGTTAGAGAACTTACCAGAACTTTAGGAGTAACAGGATACAACAGTTATCCCTTATAGCTCCATAAAAAAAAAACCTTTAAAAGTCACTATATTTCACATTAGATTTTTATTGTAAAGGCTTCTGAACTTGGTAACACTTAAGGAGACAGTGATACATTTAGGTTTTGCTAAATATACTTTGTGATTTTGCAAAGGATATTAGTATAGAAATCTCCCCCACTATATATAGCAGAGAATAGCTTGATTTGGATACCTCTCTGGGTTCCGACAACACCCAATACTTCTTACCTCTCTAGCACAACACATTATAAGGAGTTCACTAGTGTTCCCCACTGTAAACAAATTGAAGACAATGAATACAAGAAATTCCTCTCGGTTTAAATAGCACCTGATACACAGAAGGCATTCAAAGAGGTGGAGTTAACGTTTCCTTTCATTTAATCCCTAAAAGCATTAGAGTCAGGATTGGGGGTTGGAAGAGTACTAACATTGAAGGGATATTCCATACCAGGTTCCTTACAACAACTCATTGAAATAATAAAAATGTTTTGAGAAAAGTGGTTTTTTAAGCTATGGTATGTATGACTTCAAAATGCATGTTCTGAGCATTCTTTAGTTTTGCAAAAAATAATACCTAAAATTATTGCTGGATATTGAAAATATTCCAAACTCTTCAGCCTACCGCTTAACTTTACCACCTTGCAACCTACAACACAGGTGTCGATCTTTTAAATTTCTTATTATTTTTTTAATTGAATTTATTGGGGTGACATTGATTCACAAAACCATACAGATTTCAAGTGTACAACTCAATAAAACATCATCTGCACACTGCATTGAGTGCCCATTGGCCAAAGCCAAGTCTCTTTCAGTCTCCATTTTCCTGGCCTTTGCCCATCTCCACCACCACCACCCCTTTCCCTCTGGCTATCACCACACTATTGTTTGTGTCTATGTGTTTTACATATATATATATATATATATATATATATGGTTTTTTGCCTAATCCCATTACTCTTAGCCAAACTAGCCTCACAATAACCCCTCCGACTTCTATGTTTAACACTCTTAAAACAGCTTTCCTAGGAATTCCTAATTGAGCTTCCGACATTGTATAAGGTATTACTTTTCTTAACCTTTCACTTTGCAGGCATAATGTTGCTTGCCATTCAATCATGTTACTATAGGCAGCAGACTTGCTGCCGAAGGCACAAAAATTTACCTTCTACCTTCACTGTTTTCAGTTTATTATTTTGAGGATGAAAGACATGTAAACTTGAAATACAACACAAGTCTATGGTAATGGCAGTAGGAGAGAGGCAGTTTAGTAACTTAAAGTATGTAAGATAATTTTTAAAGATTGATGAGAACCTAGAAAAGAACCTACCAAACAACAAAAAACATGAATTTTAAAGACCTATTTTTGTGGGAGGGGGAAATTTCAACCCTTCCTCTAAAATACTAAGTTATTTTATCTTCATAACAATCCTATTCAATATATAGCATCTCTATTTTAGTCATAGGAATGAATGCTCAGAGGAAAACCATTTGCCCATATATTTTTTGCATATTATATTAATATTATAAATTATATATTGGTATTGCTGTAAAACATATATGATAAAAATAAATATGCAAATAAAACAAGGTGTACAACTGGAATCCGAGTAGCCAAGTTTGCTGTCTCCCAACCAGATTTTAATTTACTATAGTTTTAAGTCACATTTTTTAGTTAATAATTCAGCAAGTACAAAATTATCTGGCAGACCCTTTGCCAATTTTCCAAAAAAGTACCTATACAACTAGAAACTCATGACATTTTGTCAAGACATACAAAATAACTAGACACATGAACTAAACATATAAAATGTAAGACCAAATTTAACAAGTGGCAATGAAATATATGGTATGTGGAACTACTTTGTACTTCAAATCCATCCTATTTTTACCTTAACTGCCACCACCCTACCATCACTACTCACCAGGATTACTAGGCATTTTCCTTTTGGCCTTCATTTTTTCTTCTACCTTAAATCTACTTCCCAAAAAGAAACTGTGTACTATAGTTCACTTAGTGTTGTCTTCATAGATCAGTATGTTTCCTACATAAAATTTTTCTATTCAATAATATCTTAAAGATCTTTTAACCATGATCCTATTCTCTGAGATCCCTTGTCTAGCTATGTGTGTTAAATGACTTTCTCTTAGACTGGTAAGCATAATGGTAGAAATGAAGACAATTTAAAAGCTTTTTTAAAGTTTTGCTATTTAAATAAGTCCACAAATGTACATTTGATTATAAACCTAATGGAAAAGAGAACCATCATATAATTATATATGCCCAAAGACATGAATTCTAGCCTTGACTTTGAGCTAAATGGTTAATCTTGCTGGGCCTTGGTTTTCTCAAGGCAAGAAAACTGTTTTAGTTTCCTTCTGACATTCTGTTATTTATATAGAAACCAAATAAATTTGAGATAATTAATGAAAATTCACCATTAAGATGGGCTCCTACCTTTCTGCTTCTGGAAGTTGGTTAATTTTTCTGGTTATGATATCAAAAATGTTTTCCTTCATAGTATCATCTGGTTCATGATTTTCCATCTTGAGCCTTAAAGAAATTAATATCACTTTCCAGTAATGTATACCTATAGAAAAAAACAAAAGAGCTTATAAAAAGCCTTCTGAAGGCCATAATTTCAAGAGAATTAGCTATAGATTGAATTCATGATCTGCATGCACACTATACCCTCCCCATCCCCAAAATCAATCCTAAGTGAAACAGAATCAGAACATGAAAAGCAGCATATAAAGCTTCTAGGAATACAGAATATTTTTTATAACCCTTAAAAATATTTAATTTGCAATAGCACCAAAAGACATAAAACAAATGTTAACTAAGAACTTGTGTTCATCAACAGACACCATAAAGATAAACTAGTGCGGGAAAAATGTTTGCACTATAACTGACAAAAGAGTAGTTAGGCCCAGCCCAGCGTGGCTCAGCATTGAGCATCGACCTAGGACCTGGGATCCAGGACATCGTGGTTTGATTCCCGGTCAGGGCACATGCCCAGGTTGCGGGCTTGATCTCCAGTCAGGGGTGTGCAGGAGACAGCCGATCAATGATGACTCTCTCATCATTGATATTTCAACTCCCTCCCTCTCCCTCCCCTTCTCTGAAATCAATATACACATATATATATGTAAATAGTAGTATACATATATATATATGTAAATAGTAGTTAGTACCCAGAATGTGTAAAGAAGTACAAATCAACAAGAAAAGACCAAGCAACCCAACAGAAAAATTGACAAAAGGTTTGAACGAGCATTTCACTGAAAGGAAAGGCAAAGAGCCAATGAACATGAAAATATGCTTAACTTCATAATCAGGGAAACAAAACCACAGTGACACCAGTATGTGTACCTAGGTTCGCTAAAAACAACAAAACAACACAAAATCTGACTATTTCAATTACTCCAAAGAATGTAGGGTAACTCGTGCTGCAGGTGGAAACAAATTATATCCAGTTTTGAGTACAACCCCTTTGGAAAGGAATATGGTATTTAGTAGGTAGAAGACATACCTAAGAACTTCACTTCTAAGTATACCCTACAGCAGAGATCAAACTTTTTCTCTAAAGGTCCATATAGTATTGTAGGCTTTGCAGGTCACCTATGGTTTTTATTGAATACTTTTTAAAAATAATTTAAAAAATATAAATATCATGCTTAGCTGGCCCACAAGCCAGCAGTTTGCTGATCCATGTACTAGCTGGGGTGAATGTCAGAGTAGGGAAATGGTGAATGGTAACTTTTCCCCCGGAGATTTTTAGCTTATTAAACAAGATTTCAGGGTAGCAGGGTTAAGCAAAACTTTACGGATAACCGCACAGGACAACATGATTTTATGAAATTACATTTTCTTCGTTCACTATCATTCATTTGCTACAAGATTAATTTATGACACCGAGTAACTTAAGATTTTTGGAGGGTACTTTGTTAGATTCATATGATCATTTGGAAAATGTTCAGGGCACTAATATTTCATATCCCTAGACTTAAAATTAACCTAGTAAGTACAATGCAGGCTCAGAAATTCATGTCTAGGTATCCTGGGTTCAAAACTTTTCGAGGGCCTTGTTTACAGTAACATGATAGACACAATCTCCACCCTAGAGAAGCTTTGAACGACTCTGCTTGGGGTGGGGGTGGGGGAGGTGGAGCGATACATAAAAAGCGATCAGATTCGGTATATAAAAAGTGTACGGTTTAGATATCGGAAATAAAAGAAATTATTTCAGAAAGTCCCGCCTAATACTATCATAGTTTTCTTTCTGTTCTATGCTCTGTATATTGGTAAGGTTCTGAGTTCTGTGAACTTGCCACTGCCACGGTGCGGCTATTTAAAGTCGTCCTTAATTCGGTAAAAGTTCTGACCCGGCAGCCCGCAGTTGGTCATTTTTGTCCCCGTTATTAATAATAAATCCCTATCAAAGACAATGGCGCCTTTAAATACCACAAACACGTCAAACTGCTTTTGAATTCGCTTTCTCACGTCACTCAGCATAGCTCCGAGAGAGGCAGTAAGAAAAGGGGGCCTCTGAAAAGGAAGTTAGCCCCAGGATACCTTATAAACTGGCAGTAAACCCGGGATTAAATTCATGTGCAGGCATTATTTTTTCTTCTTTTTTTTTCTATTGGCTTACTTTACAAGTTCTTCTAAGGTGGAAAATGAAGAGCCCGTCAGCGCCATAGAGCCGACCCCTCCCCTCCCGACCCAGTCCCGGGATCTCATTCCCGAAGCGCTTCTTTCTCGGGGACGTCAGTACCTTTTGCTCTCCTCCCAGCTGCCGGGGCTTCGTGCTCTTCCTCGGCCGCTGAGGTTCACTGCAACCTTCGCTCAACGCGCGCGGGCGCAGCCATCTTTGGGTGGCACGTGACTCGGCCCGAGGCGGGCACGGGGCCTCGGCCGCTGATTGGGCTCCCGGGACGCAGGTCGCCGCTGATTGGGCTTCCCGGAGGCAGGTTGCGCGCAGCTGCGACTTTCTGGCTGAGGAGCTGCCCGCCCAGGGAGATGCTGGGCGNTCAGGTCGCCGCTGATTGGGCTCCCGGGACGCAGGTCGCTGCTGATTGGGCTTCCCGGAGGCAGGTTGCGCGCAGCTGCGACTTTCTGGCTGAGGAGCTGCCCGCCCAGGGAGATGCTGGGCTTAAGCCGTGGGACTCGGAGTCACCTGGAGAACGTTGGTCCCACCCACCCCCTGCCTCCCAGGGCAGAGCTTTGCGGAGTGTGACATTGCCAGATGCAAGTCGGGTGACCCTAAACCGGCCCTTTCCACTGAAAACCTACCTTGGGCACGTTATTTACCTTCCCGGCCGATAGAGCCTCCCTCACGATGTGGACGTGGGGTGCAAGACAACAGCACAGCCCTTGGCCTACGGTGGGTACTAGGATAAAAAGAGATAAAAAAAGGAGCTGAGACTTCTTTGCTCCGTCGAGTTTCTCTTTTCCTTTGGATCCCTGTGCCATGTTGCAGTCTGGTTGATCGTCCCACTTCAAGATAATCAGCACCTCAAGACAAGGAGCTTGATTTTCTGAGGATCCCCTGGCGCCCTGCTTAGGACTGCTTAGAGCTGCAGGAGTGCGTGAGTGTGGCCAAGGAAAAACTGGAGGGCGGGCAGGACAACGGAGAAGGAAAATCTTGGACTGAGCCTCTGAAGACGTCTCAGTTCTCATCCTAGCAGCCTCTTTCTCATCTGTAAAACAGGAGGGAAAATAACATTTTCGCTGATTACTTTGTAAATATGTGAGCATCCAATAAAAGTGCCTACCAAGGTTGCTTTCAAAGTAATTGAGCTTTATCAGAGGAGAAAGTGATATTCCAGATTAAGGTGAGGTGGGCAGGGTGAGAAGAGCCCCCAAAACTCCATGGCTAAGAAGGATTTATCTGATATCAAGTATTCTCTGGTGAGTGAAACAGAAAATAAAAACAGCTTGTTAGATTTCAAGGTTGAAAGTCAGCATGAGCTTCGATTGGAAAACTTTATACATTTGCCATCTGCAGTGCTCTTTATTTTTTTATAGATCCATGTTCTATCTGGTAATTTTTTCCTTCCACCTGAAATACTCTTTAACCTTTTTTTTTTTTTTTTTATATATCTTTATTGATTTCAGAGAGGAAAGGAGAGGGAGAGAGACATAGAGACATCAATGATGAGAGTCATTGATCGGCTGCCTCCTGCACGCCCCCAATTGGGGATCGACCTCGCAACCTGGGCATGTGCGCTGACCGGGAATCGAACCCCAATCTCCTGGATCCTAGGTCTACACTCAACCACTGAGCCATGCCCCGCCGGGCTTTCTTTAACATTTCTTAGAAAGCAAATCTTCTGGTGGTTAATTCTTTTATATTTTGCATGTCAAAAAGGTATTTGCTTTAGTTTTTAAAACTGTGGCAAACCACATAACATTAAGTTTACCATGTTAACTATTTTAAAGTACAGTATGTAGTTACGTAGTGTTACATATATTCACATTGTTTTGCAACAGATCTCTAGAACTTTTTCATCTTGCAACACTGAAACTGTATACCCACTAAACACTAATTATTCCTCTCCACTCTCCCTAGCCTTTGGTAACCACCTTTCTATTTTCTGCTTACATGAGTTTGACTATTTTAGATACTCCATATGACTAGAATCATACATTATTAGTGCTTTTGTTACTAGCTTATTTTATTAAGCATACTGTTCCTGAGGTTCATCCATTTTGTCACACGACAGAATTTCCCTCTTTTTAAAGGCTGCATAGTATTCCAATGTATGTACATGTATATATCACACATTTTTAATCCATTCATCTATTGATGGACATTTGGGATACTTCTACCACTTGGCTATTGTGAATAATACTGCAATGAACATGGGTGTGTAAATCTCTTCAAGACCCTGCTTTGAATTATATTGGATATATACCCAAAAGTGAGATTGCCAGACTATGTGGTATTTATATTTTAATTTTTTTAGGAACCTCCATACTATTTTCCATAATGGCTGCACCATTTTATATATCTACCAACAGTGAACAAGGGTTCCAACATCACATTCTTGCCAGCACTTGTTATTTTCTGTTCTTTTCATAGTGGCCATCCTGATGGATATGAAGAAATATCTCGAGTGGTCTTGATTTGCATGTCCCTAACAATTAGTGATGTTGGGCATCTTTTTATGTGCTTATTGACCATTTGTATATATTCTTTTTTTTTTTTGTTAATCCTCACCTGAAGATATTCTCTCCATTGATTTTTAGAGAGAGTAGAAGGGAGGAAGTTAGGGGGAGGGAGGGAGAGAGAGAAACATCTATGTGGGAGAGACATGTCGATTGGTTGTCTCCTGCATGAGCCCTGACCAACCAGGGCAGATCAACCTGCAACCCAGGTACGTGCCCTTGACCGGGAATCAAACCCGAGACCCTTAGGTGCCTGGGCTGACACTCTAACCACTGAGCAACACTGGCCATGGCTTGTATATATTCTTTAGAGAAATGTCTATTTAAGTCATTTGCCCATATTTTAATTGTATTGTTATTTGTCATTGAGTTATATTCTGGATATTAACCTCTTATCAGATATATAAGGGGTTATTCTCCCACTCCTTAGGCTGCCTTTCCATTCTGTTATGTTGACTTGGACAACTTTTTAATTTTGATGTACTCCCATTTGTCTAATTTTGATTTTTGTTTATGTTTTGGTGTCATAGGAAAGAAATCACCCTCAAATTCAGTGTCCTGAGTTTTTCCCCTGTGTCTTCTAGATTTGTAGTGTTTGGCCTTACATTTAGGTCTTTAATCCATTTTGAGTTACTTTTTATATATTGAGTATGGAAAAGGTCCAACTTTATTTTGCATGTGTATATCCAGTTTTTCAAACACCGTGTGTTTTGGCACCCTGTCAAAAATCATTTGGCCATATATGCAAGGATTTATTTATGGACTGTCTGTTGTTTCATTGGTTAATATATCTAGCTTTATGCCAGTACCACATCATCTTACTGTTGCTTTGTAGTATGTTCTGAATCATGAAGTATTAGGCTTCCATCTTTGTTCTTTTTCAAGAATGTTTTGTCTAGTCAGGGTCCCTTGAAATTTCATATGAATTTTAGGATTGCTTTTCTATTCCATTGCTTTTCAAAATTCCAATGGAATTTTGATAGAGATTGCACTGAATCTGTGGATTGTTTGGGGTCACATGGACATTTTAATGATGTTGAGTCTTACAGTCCACAAGCATGGGGTGTCTTTCCATTTACGTCTATCTTCATTGATATTTTAAGCAATGTTTTGTAGTTTTGAGTATACAAGCTTTTTTTTTTTTTTTTTTACCTCATAGGTTAAGTTTATTCCTAAGTTTTATCTTTTTTAATACTGCAGTAAATGGGATTGTTGTTTGTGTAGTGAAACAATGAATTTTTGTGTGCTGATTTTGTATTCTGCAACTTAGATGAAATTGTTTTTAGGCGTAACAGTGTTTTCTGGAATTTTTTTGTTTTTCTATATATAAGATCATGTAATTTGTGAACAGAGATCATTTTACTTTTTTCCCAATTTATTTTTCTTCTCTAATTACTTTTGCTAGAATTTCAGTACTGTATAGAATAGTATTGGCAAGAGTGGTCATTCTTGCTTTGTTCTTCATCTTAGAGGATAAGCTTTCAATCTTCCACCACTGAGAATATCAGCTATGGGCTTTTCATATGAGGCTTATATTCTGCTGGGGTAGTTTCCTTCTATTCCTAGTTTGCTGAGTATCTATTATCATAAAACAGTGTTGACTTTTTCTGCCTTGATTGAGATAATCATGTGGTGCTGTCCTTGATTTTGTTTATAGAGCTTCTACATTCAAATGGTCAAGACATGAACAGAAAATTCACAAAAGAAAACAAGAGGCCAATATCTTTATTTAAAAATCAACTTTAGCTAGACTCATTTTTGTTTTTTTCTTTTTGCCTCGAGATTGGGAAACTTTAAAAGATTGATGTGGCTGAAGCTGGAAAAGGGCAGTAAGGGTGTGAGGGGAGTGAGGGACAATGAAAAGGTAATGGGATCCGATGGATTATAGATTCTGGTGAGGCTGAAGTAATGCTGGAGTTGTGGTATGAGAATGAAAAGATCTTGAAGGATAGGAGATAGTGATAAGAAAACTGGACTTTAAAATTGAGAATGTGGAGAATTTGAATTTATTGATAATGACAAGGTCTAGAGCAACATAGTACAAATAAAAATATAATGTGAGTTATGTATGTAATTTTAAATTTCCTAGTAGACACATTAAAAAAAGCAAATAAAATTAACTTTAATGCATTTTATTTAACCCAATATAACTAAGAGTAACCTTTCAACATGTAATCAATAGATTATCCATGAGACATTTTACTTTTTCTTTTACAGAGTAAATCTTTATGTGTATTTTACACTTTTAACACATTTCAATCTAGATTATTCACATTGCAAATGCTGAATAGTAGCTACTGACTATCATATCAGAGAGACGGGTCTAAAGTGTGACCATGAGAATAAGTTAGGTAGGGTAGAGAGACCAGGGTATGGGAAGGATCACCTATGTGAATACTAGAATCAAAAATGTACTACCACTAATAAGAATGTGTTGGACCAATATGTAATGAGTTGGAAAGAGCTCCAAGACATATAGTTAAGTGAAAAATATGTATGGATAATAAAATTTATTTAAAAATATGTGTTACAAAAAGAATACTGCAAGTAAAGAGGCATGCTAACTTGATAGTGGAGAATAGAGTAGAAATAGGATGGAGTGGGAGAGCAGGAAGACTTTCCAAGTCTTGTTCTATATAGCAAACGTATATACAGGGTGGGGCAAAAGTAGGCTTACAGTTGTTCATATGGAAAATAATGCAATAATTAATAAATAATACAAGTATTCTCTGTGTTTCATATACTCACAACTGTAAACCTACTTTTGCTCGACCCTGTATATATACTTCTGGATCATTTGAATATCTCAGAATGAGAAAGTATTCATATACTAATTTTTTAAGAGTTAAGAACACCACTGATCTAATTATCTATTTGACTTGATTCCCCCTGCCC